GATCGAATTTTCGAATTTCCCAATAGCAAATCAAGCTAATCGAAAATCCTGCCACCGTCGGGGGTCAAACCCTAGGACCTTCCGTCGCGAGACCGCAGTGACGTCATTGGACGCTTTGAACCTGTACGTCAGTAGCCTGTTGGCCGGTGTCATTGGTCGTCCGGTGACTGTGGGGTTAGGAAATGGGTTGCGAGTAGAAAGCGGAGAGTCAGCAGCCAAGTGCGCATCGAAGCGACTTGGAAACGAAGCTGCATGTGAGTGGTGGTGCTGAGGAAGTGCGTCGGCGGGGAGGGGAGCACTGCCGGCCAGCAGTGAGGCGGCGGCCGCGGCGGCGCCGTTGCGGGCCGGCGGCGCGGCTGCCTCGCGCGGCGCCGCGTCGCCCACCGAGCAGCACTAATTAGGCGGCGGGCGGGCCTCCGAGCGATGCTCCCACCCCCGCCTCCGCCGCCGCCGCCCCCCCGCCGCCGCCGCTCAGGTCGGCGCCGCAAACCAGAGCGTGCGCGCCACCGCCGCCGCCGCCGCCGGGAGATGAAGCGCAGATCGTGCTATCCGAGCATCTACTCGCCGCCGTCACGGCCGCCGCCGCCGCCGCCCCCGCAGCCGCCAGCTGCCGCCGCGCGCCGTTGCAGCTCATAGCGGCGCCGCCCGCGTCGTCTTCCCGCTGTTAGCGCCTGTGTTGCACCTTGCGTAGGAACTCTAAGAGCTCATTGACAAGCGAAAACTATGACTACTAGGCTGTCCGGGTGACGCCGCGTCGTTGGCGGAGAGGCCGACGTTTCGCCTGTCAAATCGCAGGCTTCTTCAGGGAGTCATGGACTCGAGCCGCGGAAGTCTACGTGTACAAGCGAAAACAGAGACGGCTCAGAGCATCAGCTGTAATCCTTCTGAACGGGAGGTCCTACATTTGAGTCGCGTCGGTGGCAGAATTTTAGATACTAGCTTGTTAGCTAGGTCGAATTCAACCGCTGCCTGGAGGAGAATTATAGAGACAGGTTGCTCTGATCGATAGTTTTTCTCTGGTTTCTCCGATCAGACCAGGCGAATGCCGGAGCAGTGCCCTAACAAAATGTTCACGTACCGCGCGCGCGATTGTTTCTTCCACTTCCTTATCTTAGCCTCACCCCTTACACATACTTACACGATCATGCAGTACACTACCGCATGGAAGGAGACCGGTCGGGAGCTTACAGCTTGTCTCGGTTGCGGCGGTGCTCTGCTGGTGGGTGTTAACTGGTTGGGGAAAACCCCGCTAGCCGATGGTAGGTCGGCGCCGGATCTCGCCATGCAGTAGGGAAGCCCATCGCCATACCCCGAGCAAAATATACACTACATTTACAGGAATATCGATCATTAGTAGTTGATGTGCCGGAATTACAAATAATCAATGAACAAGTGAAAACTGAACATCATGGTTCTACACATTCGGCATTTGCCGATTATCAAGCTACTGGTCGCCCAATCCCGGGCAGCAGATGTGCTCGGCGAATGTTCGTTCCTTTGATGACCAAGAGACAGTCACGCGCTGGGTAGATCGAGCATTGAATGTTCGTCATCCAGCAAATGGCAATCAACCCATCCACACTATAACGCATCACCCATGACCCACCCACGCTTACTCAGATTTAAACCTAACTGCCCCTGACATACTGTAAATCTCTAGTCATCCAATCGAGAGGTTGAACGTCACCATAGTGACGTCATTGTAGTAAAGTGTAAGCTCCCGACTGGATGACACCGTAACTGCTGACAAGCTGCCAAGTACAGCTCTAAATAAATCGAAGTGTATTTGGTGAGCAGTCATTCGCCACTCGCCCAATGAGGAGCCGTCTTAACGTAAATGAAACGAGCCGCCTTAAAGTATACCAAACGAGCCTCCTTAAAGTATACCAAACGAGCCGCCTTAACGTAAACCAAACGAGGCGCCTTAACGTACACCAAACGATCCTTCTTAAAGTATACCAAACGAGCCACCTAAAAAGTATACCAAACAAGCCTCCTGAAAGTATACCAAACGAGCCACCTTAACGTAAAGCAAACGAGTCGCCTTAAGGTAAACCAAACGAGCCACCTTAAAGTATACTAAACGATCCACCTTTAAGTAAACCAAAATATGGTCAAGCTGTAATATATCACGTTCATCTTAACGATCTGAGACGAACTCACAATCGTATGCAAGATTAAGATCCAAAACACTTCTGGAGTTTTCGTCAGTCGCTAATGGAGTTTGTAAGAGCGTAAATTGACAATCATCATACAAATTTCATCATGAAAAGTTCCATTGCTCACGCTTATTGGGACCCATGGTATTCGAAATAATTATTTTCCACCCATGATCTCTCCAGCTTACTTCATTTCGTTGGAGAATACATAGACGTTTGTGTGCCGAGTATTTATTGTATCGCTATCAATGGTATCTGAGTTTGCGTTTAGGTTCTTTGTGAATGGTTTGTCCATGTTTATGTTTAATGTTCATGTGTTGTGTTATCATGTCTGCATTAATGTTTTCACAATCAATGGATCGTTATTGTTGCCAAGGGGTTGTTTCCGTTGAGTCAAAAACGAGCTCCTTTCGGCTGACAATTTATGTTGACTTGACACAAGTTACTTTTGTATTGGAAAGGATAGGGCTTCACATGAAGGAAAGTTATACTCAATCGATTTAATTAAGCTTCGTCACCTTCATTTCCAATTGGGATTAACTTTTTACATGAACGGCTGACCAGATTGTCGCTCTTTGTAATTCGGGATATTATTATATATATCCACATATATATATATATATATATATATATATATATGCCATTTTGGTTCTAGGAGTGATGCAATTTTGCATCAGCTTCCAATAGGGTTGCCATAAGGATAACAATGAAATTCAGAACATGTGAAATGTTTCAGGGCAAATTTCTTATTTTTATACAATTAAATAGTATATCAAGTAAAAACTACATAGTAGATCAAGCTAAATTACATTGCACACTTTCAAAAATAACCGAGTAACCACTCTTTTTCGATTCAAAGAATTCCCCTGACTTTTTAAGGTTATCCAGGTCACTTTTACCATGTCAAAATTTGTGAAATATTTCAAGGTATTTAAATAAAATATTAAATTTTTAGAATGTCGAAAATGGTTTTTCTTGAAATTTTAAAATGTCGCTTCTTGAGGCCTCGAGAGAGCTCACGACAAAGATATCAGCCAAACTATTTTTCTCAACAGGTTGTGGCCACAGTCGTTTGATTTTAGATTTGCCTCGTTTCGTTTTACAGTTCCAGGCCAGTACCTATGCCTGTGACCACAACCTGGCAAGAAAACTTCCGCAAACGAAATTCACTTCATTTTTCACCTTCATTTTCTTCAGAATTGAGGGTGCCCATATTCTGTGTGTCTGTGCACGCAATCCTGTTCAACGTACTCCCTTCTTTAGGGCAGTACGATATGCAGTTTGATCTAAACAAACATGCATCCATGATGAAAGATGGAATGTTTCCCATGATCCCTTAATGAAACGTTTCTTTTATCACGGATACATCGTCCCCCCACCTCTGGGTGATATCAGCGTCGTTGTCGCTATAAGACCGGACGCGTAAAACTGGAGGTCTGGGCCACTTGGACGGTTATACAAGAGACGGTTGTTACGGTTATACAAGAGACCGCTAAAACAGCGTCGGATAAAACCGACCATGTATGCGAGCATTTATGGGAGTCAAGAGTGTGGTTCGAGAATCTTTTTCTTGGGGTTGAGAATGAGCGGCATAGCTCCGAAAAAAAGCTTCCAGAAAAAAAAAACAATTATTAGGAAGTGGAAAGTATGTACTTGTAATTGGTTTGGTCCGACACGTGAGCGAGTACATATGGAAGTTAAGAATATTCCCCTATAGAGCCCAGAAAAATCAACAATGCATTAAAAAAGTGGCGATATGTACTTGCCGGCACCTGACCGAGTAAATATGAAAGTCGATTATATTGTTCGAGAATCTTCCCTTGGGATATGCCTGAAAATAAAGCTCCCAGGAAAAACAACAATACATTGTAAACGTCCAGTATGTACTTGTCCGTCACGTGAGCGAGTACATATGAGAATCGAACAGTTCGACAATTGTCCCCTTCAGATGACGAGCGTGATTGGCTTAGGCTTGAAAAAATAGCTCCCAGAAAAATCAACAACAATGCATTGTAACGTGCCGGTATGTACTTGTCCGTCACTTGAACGAGTATATATGAGAATCAATTATATTGTTCGAGTTCGAGAATCTTCCCCTTGGGATATGCCTGAAAATAAAGCTCCCAGAAAAAACAACAACAATACATTGTAAAGTTCCAGTATGTACTTGCCCGTCACGTGATCGAGTACATTAGAGAGTCGATTATATTGTTCGAGAATCTTCCCCTTGGGATATGCCTGAAAATAAAGCTCCCAGAAAAAAAACAATGCATTGTAAAGTGCCAGTATGTACTTGTCCGTCACGTGAACGAGTACATATGAGAGTTGATTATATGGTTCGAGAATCTTCCTCTTGGGATAATGTCAAGCATGATTGGCACAGGCCTGAGAAAAGAAGCTCCCAGAAACAACAACAACAATGCATTGTAAAGAGCCAGTATGTACTGGTACGTCACGTGATCGAGTACATATGACAGTCGGTTATATTGTTCGAGAATCATCCCATTGGGATATGCCTGAAAATAAAGCTCCCAGAAAAACAACAACAATGCATTGTAAAGTGCCGGTATGTACTTATCATCACTTGAACGAGTACATATGAGAATCAATTATATTGATGGAGTTCGAGAATCTTCCCCTTGGGATATGCCTGAAAATAAAGCTCCCAAAAAACAACAACAATGCATTGTAAAGTTTCAGTATGTACTTGTCCGTCACTTGAACGAGTACATATGAGAGTCGATTATATTGTCTTGTATAGAATCTTTGCCTTGGTATAATGTGTAGCGTGGCATAGGCCTGAAAACGAAAACCCCAACAATGCGTTGCGAAGGGCGGACAATGCGCGCGGCCGTCGCCGGGCGGCGTGCGGAGAGGCGCATGCTGGGGGGGCGTAGGGCGCAGAAGGGCTCGCAGCGCGTGCGTCATGCACTCGCCCAGCGCCAGCGCCAGCCGCACGACCATGCGCAGCGGCAGCGCCGGAGGCAGCAGCAGCAGCAGCGGCGGCGGCGGCAGGGCCAGCGACCACGAGCCATGGTACGCCTCCACCCGACTCTGGCCCGTCCGCACCCGCAGCACGCTCTTGTACTTGGTGAGCACCCGACACTGCCAAGATGGATGCGTATTTATTACATTTGCTCCTTGTCAGTACCTATACTGACTTAGGTGGTACAGGGCAGCAACTGATGTCACTGCCGAGCCTCTGATCAGGAGGTCAGGATTTTCGGCATGGCAGGATTTTCATGACAGTATTTTCATGACAGGATTTTCATGGCAGGATTTTTATGACAGGATTTTCATGGCAGGATTTTCATAGCAGGATTTTCATGGCAGGATTTTCATGACTGGATTTTCGACAGTAACATGTCTGCTGGGTCGATTTCAGCCCCTGTCTGGAGAATTCTAGCTGTCAGCTGCTCTGATCGGTAGCTTTCCCTGGTTTTTCATATCAATACCAGGCGAATACAGGACCAGTATGAAGTCATGAGCGATCTTTCCTTCCTTTTCTTAGCCCTTTCCTCTTCCCTTACTTACACACACTTACTTACATGCACTAAATTACCACACTCATGGGGAGACCAGAAACGAGCTGAGAGCTTGTCCCGGTTGGGGCGATGTCCCACCGGTGGGAGATACCTGGTATGGGAAAATCCCCGATAATCCACGTAGGTCGCCGCCGCATCTCCCCAGCCAGCGAGGGAGGATCACTGACGCCTTCCGCGATAAAAAAACATGCTCTACACTTATGGGACTAATGACCTTATCAGTTGACGCACCCAGGATCAGTAATCAATCAGTCAGAATCTACAGAGGTTCCGATTCATAACGCAGATGTAACATATCGGCCATTATAGGTCATTTGGACAAGCGTAGCTCGTGAACTGAAACTGTTTATTCCAAGTGCAACCTGCTACCCTCCCCATTCATTGCGCCGATGTGACGCGTGTTTCCATACAGGGCATTTGTACGTATCATATTGGACAAGAAATATATATATATATATATATATATATATATATATATATATATATATATATATACGCGCTTAATAAACCAGGCAAAGTATGTATTATGTATTTACGTTGCACGTCTTTGTATCTTTCGGTATAAAAAGACGATCATTCGCCCTCCCTCTGAGACTGTTTCCTCCAGATTCCCTCCTCCTAATATTCTCCTCATTCATCGTGTAGATGTCACGTATCGGCCATTATAAGTCAGTTGTACATACTATATTGAAAAAGCGTATCTTGTGAACCCATGGCACCTAAAGAACCAGGCAAAGTATGTATTTCTCTTGAACATCTTTGCACCTTTCGATGCCAGCAGACCCAGCCCCCCTCTGTTACTGTGTCTTCGAGTTTTCCAGCAACCTACAAAACCCTTAAACACCTTACAATCTTTAACTTAACCACCTCACCGCTAGAATACCTTGAAGTTTTCATTTTGCAAAAAAGGAATAATTATGCTGGTAATTGAAAACAGAAAATGTCCAAATATGTCAGGAGTGTTGGTATTCATGCGCGTATGCAAACAAATCATTGAATCAAATCCTATTTGTTGTAATTTTATGCAATACAATCATCAAAGTGATATAATAATAATAATGGCAAGGGCTATTAAGATAAACACGATTGATACTTTACGCCTGAAATTACTCTTCCTATTTATGGAACTGCAAAAGAATATCTGCAAAGGAATTCAAGTAGAACAACGCATGGATAGCGTGGATCTGTTTGAAGAAGTGTGAAAATATTTTTAAAAAATTCAATGTAATACTACCCCGGACAAACATCTGTGGATGGGATTTTACAAAAAAGAGAAGAGTAGACCTGTATTGCAGGTGTAATTCATAGAAAGAAGGAAAAAAACAGTTTTTTCGCTCTGCTGCAACGCATGCAAATTATACTTTGAACTTAAGTCTGAAAAGAAAGCGTTTAAAAAGGCAGAAATAGCGAAGCGACTTGCGAACTGAGCAGCGAAGTTTCCTCCATTTCGGTCGTCGTGGGACTTCTGGTACCAGGTAAAACGGTTTCCGGTGGTGAAGGCGGACGGGTCTCTACACGAAAACGAGATGAGGAACCGAGTGGGCTGCAAACCTTCCTTCCGCTTCCGCGCGTTGTTGCCGCGAGCGAAGGGCGCGCTGGAGAGAACCACACGGGGAGGGTATCAGTAGCCTTAACTCCCGCAGACGGGGCCGACGTGTGTAGTGCTGCCCGCGCTCCTGTTCACGGATGACTCGGTTAGTGCGCCTCTGTGATCTGTGGTTTATGAGGGCAGCCAAGTGTGTCGTTTGTTTGGTAACTATGTTATGCCTATTTTTATTATTTGGTAATTGTGTGATATAAAGATTGTTAAAGGCCATTTAGAAAGGATGGATTCAGACAGAATGCCCCATAAGTGATATAACTGGACGCCAGCAACACGGAAAAAAGAGGTGGACCAAGACGGACCAAGAGTTGGAGGATGGTGTAATGGTGGTATTGGAGAGAAGAGATATGTTACAAGACACTGGGCATCGCAAGTCTAAATGGGGTATTGGATGCGATAAACGGCCATAATAGTACCGTAAACATCACTGCAATATATGTGATATGTCTACCGGAATTCGGCACGATAGTCTCTATTCCTTAAAATATTGGTGTTTCACATAATTGAGCACATTCCATTGGGATCTCAGCGTAGATACGGGAGGAGCGGTAATAATAAAGGATATAACTTGCTGACTCATGTAGATGACCGTTGACCGTAGTGCAAAATGATAAAAAGTGAACTAGCGAAAGTTCTCGTTAAACTGTCAAAAGTCCGTTTTATTCTTCACTTATTTCATATCGATCAGGTCGATTGATTGATTGTTAGTGATTCCGGGCGCATCAACAACTAAGGTCGGGTAAGTGTAGTGAATGTTTTTGTTCGTGAAGTGGCGGTGGTCTTTCCCCGCTATTTAGCGGTATCCGACTTTGACCTACCGTCGGATAGCAGTGTTTTCCCCAACCAGATATCTCCCACCAGCAGGGCACCACCCCTGCCGGGACAAGCTCTAAGCTCCCGACTAGTCTCTCCCCATGTGTGATTGTGCAGTGCGTGTTAGTGTAAGTGTGTGTGTAAGAGGTGAGGATAGGACAAGGAAGATGTGGGAAATATCGCACGCAGTCCATTTGTTAAGGTTCTGCTCCGGCATTTACCTGGTGATGATCGGAGAAACCACGGAAAACTATAGATCAGAGCAACCGGCCGCTAGAATTCTCCTCCAGAAAATTCGACCAAGCAGACTAGCTAATTTCGAAAATCCGTCGTTACTCGAATCTAGGATCTCCCCGTCAGAAGGACTGCAGTGACATCAATTGATGCCCTGTGCTATCTCTGCCAATCGATCAGGTCTCAATACATTGCAGTGTTTAATTATAATAAATCACAATTGTGTGTCACAGTAGTTTGATAAACAGTATCAGTCACGTAACTTTAGACTCTTTTACCACCATTTTTGAACGATTGAGGATAGTTCAACACATTCCAGAATTAAAAGATGTAAACGAAGTATGGATTTAAACGGCCTAGTTCCAAATAATATTTTATGTAATGTGTACTTCAAAATACCAATATTTTAAAAATGAACTAAAACATTATTTCATATTCTTTACATTGTTTATATGGTCAGTGTACCGTTTATCGCCCCTGTGCCTAGTATCGCAACCTGTGTTTCCATGGTGACATGCGCTCCAAATGCGGTTTCTTATGTGAAACTTATAGTTATGGCCTATAGCTGTGCTAAAACTGCATACCCCAGAACAATACGTTTCACGTAAGAAACCATACATGGTGCGCATGGCACCTTGGAAACACGAGTAGGCGATATTAGGCACAGGGGCGATAAATGGTATACTGACCCAATAGCTATTACACGGGAGAACGTTCATGAAAAAAACATTTCTATCGAAAAAATAGCATTGCAGTAATACTAATGACCGTCAGCTGCATCTTCTGTCCTGATCCGGGGGAGCAAAAACAAATATATCCCTAATAATGTTACTTGAAAACATACGATGTTCAGGTAAAATCCAATATGTCCACAGCGTTGCTGCAAGCAATAAAAATATGTCTGTATAACCAATATGATGTCATTTATTCACGATCACGTGACTGTTCATGCAGCGTGGTTCATTCCACCTGTGAAGTCTTAACAACAACGTCCTATTGTATTTACTAGAAGATTGGGTTCTAATGGTCACAAAAACTTTGAGTAGTGAGTGCAAGAACGTAAATACATCAGAAATGTGAAGCGAATCATATTTCTGAAAACAATCAAAGGGAAGAAAATTCTTACGATAAAGTAGCCCCACAGCAATATTTTTTATTTGATAGAGTTCCTGCTTTGACCCTTGTAAAACCATGTTTTTCAATTAACAAATATGGGAGAATTTAGTCTTTGGCATACATCATATGAAAGGGGTATAATATTGGGGAAGAGTTTTTATGTAGCAGATCTATTGACTGGCCTTTTAGGAAATAAATGAAAAGAATTCTTCAGATACTCCTGGCCTGGAACGGTATTCCTTTGTTCTTGATAGATCAATTGCTGAAAATCAAACTGTAATGGGAAGCCAAGAACTAAAATATAACTGTGATTGTCCAGAAGATGATCATGGCTGGCCCATATAGGTTTTAATTTTGTTTAGTTCTTTGTAATTTCTATAGAGGCCAAAAAATGGTTACAGTAGTTACAGACATTATTGTAGTAGTTTTGTCTTTCGTAAAATTGAAGTTTTGCATACAAACTGCAGTAAAATAATGTATCCCAGTAAGATGTTTTGATAATGGTAGCCATATTTTATACAAAAGCAAACATGTCCAAAATGTCCAAGCACAAGGAAACATTTCCAACTTTTAATCTGAAATGTCGTCATAATTATAAATGATTGAATAGCGATATACGCAGAGTATTGTAACAATACTGGCAAGCAGTACAGCATATTAAATTCTTTAAAAGTGCGTTACCTTGTCAACAATCAGTTTCTTGCTGTTTCTGAAAAATTGAGTTGATGGACACGTAATTTGCATGAACGCTCCTCTTATTATTATTATTATTATTGTCTTAACATATCAACAGTACTATGTCGGTAGGTCAACCCACACACAGGTTAGACGGTGTGGTGCTTTACTGAAGTTCAATGCTTCTGACAATGACGGCAGTATCAAAAAATTACGTCTTTTGCAATATAATATACATCTGTACCAAGGAAGAACCACTCAGTGCCCGAAGTGCATTTTCGGGATCACTCCCGTACTGATATTATAGGCACAGTCGTCATTACTGAAGTTCCACTGAGTGTGCGACTTCATGGCATATCGGTATTTCTTCGGATTTCTCTGATATTTTCCGAATGTTGTGGTATTGGGTATTGACATATCGATAAGGAAAACCTGCTGTTGTTTTCTATCAAATCGTACGTTATATCTGGTCTATTGCCGCCGACATGTTGTCAGTGATAATGGAACGATCCAGTAGAGTTGTGCTCACCTATTTCAGCACATTCTGAGGCACATAATTATAATACGGCACGGAAGTGGCGAGTAAGCCCGTCTCCAACGGCCAATAATTGGGGTTGTACCTGCTTCGCCACTTCATCATGGCCTGCTTTTGTATCCACTGTGCGTGGCTGCTACAATCCCACTTGTCACGTGTGTAGTTTCGCTGCAGCCTCACATCTTTACACAGTCGGATGAATGAAGATCTCTCAAATGTGTTTTCTGTACTTCAATGTTTGGTACCACTTTGCCTGGATAGCTATCATGAAGGCTTCGTCTCTCGGAAGAGATCCCCGTGCTGGAGCCATTGGTGCGACGCAGAGAATGTCGACTTCTCTGGTTACTCAGCTCGTGGAGGGACCTTCCCAATGCAGTGCCTTTGCTTTCCATAAGGTTATCTTCTCTCCGGTTTCAATGAGGGTTGAACAGGCGATCAAGCTTTTTCAAAGTTCAGAGGACTATAGTACTATCAACTGCGCTCACTGCTTGCGAACTCTCCCACAATGTCAAGAAGTATCTTCTGACTGAAGCAATTTGAGAGCTGTGTAGTATTTATGAGATCTACAAATACCTCTGCCCTCCGGCGACCTTGATAGTAAAACGCTCAGTACTTGAATGGGAATGATGTTTTCGGTGTGATCATAGCGGTTCGAATGTCTCAGAAGTTGTCCGAGTCGGATTGCTTCCATTTAATAACGCCAAAGGGATGATCACACTGGAATAACAAAATGATTGATGCCTCACAAGGTCTAGCAGAGAGTTGAGTTTTTAGAGCCCATGCAATCGTTTACACAACTTCATTGGTTAGTATATTCTAGTAACAGTGTTTTGATTCGGGTGACTGTTGGAAACCCAATGTATTGTAAGTTCATGGGTCCAGAAAGGTAAGCTTTGGTTCATAGCAGTTTCCAAATTTAACTTCATATCACCCCGAATGATCTTCACTCTCCTGCACTTATCCAAACGAATTTCCATCTAATGACGTATGCACTTCTCCGTCACGTTTTATAGTTGCCGCAATATGACCTCAGTGTCAATAGAGTTCAGGTTCATGCCTATGGTAGAACGGAGTATGTGAGACGATCAAACAAGTTGAGTTCCCTTTTTTAAAGCGATTCCCATAGAGTAAGATTGAATTCTATAGAGTATGTAGAGGGGATTCAAGGCTAAACAAACAATAAAGGCTTTAAAGAGTCATCCCGGTAAATCCCTTCGCGGATGTGTATATATCGTGTGGACGGAGGTTTCCATTAGAGAGATACAGTTTTTGTTTCCATCGACTCATCGCGTTTTCTAGGAAGTTTGATAAAGGGGTGGACGCTTGTATATCATCTCAAACGATGAAGGAGCAGTAAAATGGGCACGTGTCGAATGCTTTTAGCGTAATCTATTTAGCATGGCGTGCATAGTTTTCTTTTGTTTTCATTGCACTTTCCCCATAATTTGAAACAGAGTCTGTAAGAAGTTTGCTGCCTTGCATTGTCCCTGATAGTCCAGGTCGTCATCCTTTCTTTGGTTCATTTTGGCTAAGATGTTCTGTCCTGCAATGTGTGTCTATCAAATCATGTGGCGAAACACATTAGATGTTATGTTAGTTTGTAGAAGATTTGGAAGGCAGTTATAGGGCCTGTAACTCGAGAGTCTAGTGCACCCTCCTTTGTAACAAAACTGTCTACTCAGTGAGGAATTGAGGTAATTTCTGAATGTGAAAAAATATGAATTATATTACTATATATGGTGAGTGCTGCGTAAATTTTTGAGCCAATAATTGTGAGGCCATCATCTGCTGTGCTCCAGTTAGTTTTGCTCAAAGAGCTTGGACAATTTCCACGGTGATGATTGGTCACACATTGAGAGAACTATCTGGTTCTGTCATATTCCATTTTCAACCACGTCATATCTGGGTTTGGGACACAAGCAGATGACCAGGAATTAGGCTCCAAAAGTCTCTATTGTGCCTTTGAGGGAACGTTGACTTACAATCATTTACGAAGCCTTTGCCCTTGACA